CCCCAAAACCCCAAAACCCCAAAACCCCAAAACCCCACAAAAGTATAACTATATTGAAAGAAAAAGATAATATAAATTTTATGCAATGGCACTAAGAGTCAATATAGTTGATACTGAATATCAAAAGACAGATGGGAGAGACCATCTCTATTACCTAATCCATATCTCTCAAGCAAGATCTACTTGGGAGAACAATATTCAACTAAGATACTCCCAACTCAGGTAAGAAAGTAGAGATCGCTCACTAAATTTACATAGATTTTTCCATAAGCAGCTTCAAGACTCACAAAGATTATTTGATGCCCCTCCACTGCCTAAATTCCCAACGTGGGTCAGAGTTGCAGCTCTTTTCACTAACAGAATGGATGAGAAAACGATTGAAATGAGATGAATGCGTCTCGAAGATTATCTAAACGAAATTGTTAAGCATGTCATTACTAGATCAACCCCTTACTTTGAAGAAATATTTTAAGGTTCCAGAAGTAAACGTCGTCCGCTGGATCCAGTCTTACAAATCTTTTGAAGGTGTCCGAACTGGAAAGAATATCGAAATAGTCCTACAGACAAATGAAGGCAATGAAAACATTGAAGAGAGCCCAGAAAGAAGAAATGTTGGGCTCCAAATGAGCAAGAATCGGAACCTAGAGTCCATAAATTCCTTCGTAAATCAGATGAAACAAGTCCCAGTCCCTAAAGAGCTTAGGAAGGAGCTTAACTTGCCTAAGACTAAGAAAGTAAAGAAGAAAATTAGATACAAGGTTGATAAAAAGAACGCTATCTCCAAGTACGCATCATTTCTGATAGTTATAGTATTTATAAAGACGAAGAGATAAAATAAGGACCTCGATTTGATTAAAATAACTAATCAAAACTTAATCGACCAAAACAAGAAGCTGCAACAGGAAATGAAGGCTAGAATGACAGAGATGGATATTATGAAGCTTCAGCATCAGAAGAGCATGGAGAGACTTCTCTTGAGGAAATCTGAAAAGAGTCTTGTAATACAAAGCCCAGATACAACTCAAGAGAAAATAGATACAGGACAGTCTGTGGATACCAAACCTAGTCTCTCATGGAGTACTCTGGTGAATATTGTTAAAGCAAGAAACAGAAGAATTCCGGCTGATCCCCAACCTCTCGAACTCAAAGAAGAACCATATAGCCCTAGGACATATGTTGCTTCAGAATCTGGCCTAAGTAGACAACCTCATAAGAGAAAGAAGTCCAGAACAAGAAAGTCCTCTAAAGAAAGAATCGAGTCTGAATATCAGTATGACTCTGAAGAAGAGTATTTACTCATTGAGGAGGAAGAAGAAAGTGAAGATGAATCCCCAGACTCAGGTGTATTCTCACACTTTTAAACTCTATTTCATGCATTAAGCTTTCTTTACAGAATGTCCATTACTAGTGTTACTCATCCTAACTTTCAGAATACTATTCTCAAAATGGGCTGTTGTCGGGACTTGAAGAGACTTCGTCAGTTCCTTTATTCTCTGTTTATACCCCTCAATTTCTTTCTTAGAATTCTTGAGGTTGATCCTCAATGCATTGTTAATAGTTACAAGAGTATAATTATCCCCCTTATTTTCCTTAAGGTCATTCATGCTAGCCTCAAGATCTTCGATTTTACTCTCAAGATCAGCTATAGTATCATTTTTCTCTTCAACCATGCTATAAAGACTGTTTATTTTCATGATGTAGTGTGTTTCCATGCGTTCGTACTTTTCCTTGAACTCTTTCTCTGCCTGCCTGAGCTGGCTTGTAAAGGTCTCTAAGTCATCTCTGTTCTTCCGTCTAAGGTCATTGATCTGGGCCTTAAATTTCAGAGAGATCTGATGCTTGACTCCTTTGTGGTAATTAGACTTGTCTATATATTAATACCGGTATTTACCATTCGTTAGCAATTCTTCTTGCCTCTTCCATTCTTGTTCCTTAGTGAAAATTCTGTCCTTCATCGTTTTGATTTGTTGCCTAAGATCAAGGTTTTCTTCTTTGAGTTTTTGGATTTCGTTTACCTTGGATTCGTTTTTGAAGATAGAGATGTTTTGTTCATATAAAGTACTTGATTTGGTTGATTTTCCGATGGATCTTGAGTGGGGCGAAAATACTAAATTCATGTTATTTTTATGAATGTTATTCGATATATATCCCTTTAAATAAGAAAAGAGTGTAACGCAATAGCTGTTTCTGAAGTTATACAAATTCAAGGTTTTTATCTAAAATTAGAGGGTAAGTACTGCTTGATGGAAAATTAGATCAATCTCAGTCATCTATTATCTATAAATAGTATTCTCAAGACCTTATTCGCACTGAAGACAAATATAAACTACACTTGATTCTTATTTTTGAGACCTTGCTTACTTGTATTTTTTCTTTTTGAAATCTTCCTCCTTTGGGGTTTATTACAATTCTAAACCTTCATAAACCATGATTTTACCGTTTTGATCATATCAGAGACACGCATGGCAGGAGACAAATCACAAATCTTTGGAGATAAAGAAGTGGTCTCTTTCTCATGACTAAAGTTACATTATACCTTACTTTCCTAATTGCTTCGATGTTTTACTGGTCTCAAACCCAAGAAACACTGGGGAAAATTTAATAGAAGCACTTTTGTTTTGAGCACACTTTGGCTTGACTGACATCTTCCTTGCTCATTTAGTTGAATAATGCTTCGGACTAAAAATTTTCATTCTTTTCAAGTTGCTAACCATTGCCGAATCTTTTCTAAAATAAATGCTTAGGAGCGGATCAAGGTGCAAGGGACTGAGACTGAGATCATACCTTTTATTTTGCTTTAGAACTTTCTTTATCTTTGTTGAGAAATGTAAGTGGGTCTCCCTCACTTGATCATAACTGTTAAAATGCTGCCCATCATGAGCACCTGAGAGATGATGGGAGGGACTTTTCAAATGATCTTCCATTTTAAAATTATAATCCCTTATCTCTTCAACTTATACCAACTGGTTGGGGTTTTGGGGTTTTGGGGTTTTGGGGTTTTGGGG